TGTTACTAATAGCTTCTTGTTACTACTAGTAAGGCACTTGTTACTAGTAGCGATGCACTTGTTCCTAGTAGCATTCTTGTGCAGAGTAGTAAGGAGCTGTTTAGTCCAAGAATATCCGCTCCAAAGGGAACACACTCACCTTGCAGCGGATCGTTCCAACAGCAGGTCGTGGAGGGATCAGTGAAATCTTCATCAGATCAATTTGTCGGAGTCTTTGATATCGGGGAAGCGTTCTGTGCCAGAATCCCATTTTGGTGGAGCAGGAAATGCTCCCAGGCCTCAGATAAATTTTTTAAAACATCTGAGTGCAAATCCTTAGACCTAAGCGGGTCTTGTTTTAATTCGGATGTTTGTGCGGGTGCACTCAGACTGCACTCACCTGTTGGCAGTATAGGCCGGTATTCCAGAGATGCCGGATTGCCTCAAGCTCTAACGGTTTCCCATAAGTGGCCAACGAGGCTTCCTGACGGTTCGGACTTTGATGGTCGTTTTCATGTAGTTCCAAAACTAGTCGGTTTCGATCGAAGGGGTCACGATTGGAGGCGAAGCCATTATCTTAAACCTTCCGTTTTTACACCTCGCAGCGCACAAAAAGGCAGCTTACTTCGTTGAGTCTTTATAGACACAGACACAGACATGTGTTTTTGTTGGGTCAGCAGCTCAACGGTTCGTTTTTGCTGCTTGCTAGCTCGTCATGGCTCGTTTCGTCTTTGGTTCGTTTCATCGATTTGAGACGAAGACGGTTGAAGAGAAGAGATGGAGCCGATCCCTTCACATCGGATCCATTCGGATCCCAAATACTGATCTCACCCGGAGTCCGGTCCTCCGTTCTGTGCCAGGTTCCGGCCCTTCCTCGTTCTCCGGGTCCGGTCGGGAAGGGGTTGGACCGGGGTTGGAAGTCGAACGAAAGGAGGGAAGGTTCCCTGTATAGTAATGATTATAGATATGATAGATATGATAAGGAATTATAGGAATGGCATTTGATAAAAACATTATAACATGTTGACATGCCAGGAGCCCCTAGTAGCGAACCTTGTTCCTAGTAGTAAGGCCAGGAGCCCCGAACGTAGCGTCCGATCGCTCCCAACCCTCCGCCTTTCCTTTAATTACACTTCATTCTAATTAAAGTCTATAGCTTCTTATTGCTTCTACTAGCTTCTTGTTCCTAGCAGTAAGGCCCTTGCTCCGTTCGTAGCGATGCCCTTTGCTCCGTTCGTAGTGTCCTTTGCCCCTACGCCTCTCCACCTGCATAGGCCGAACGCCCTTTCGCTCAATCCGAGCGCCTCTCCACCAGGCGAAGGCCATCGCTCCTTCGTGTCCCACGGTTCGCGCCGGTGCACGCGGTCCACGCTCTCCGTGTTCGAGGATGGGACGGTTTGGAAATGGTTTGACTCAAATTTTTGTTTGGTTTCAAACGGGTAAATTTGCACGAACGGATGGTGAGGTTGGTTGCTTTGGCCCAAAGACGAACCGAACGAACCGAACCATGTGCCGAACGACCCGCAGCTGCGTCCCATGAAGTTCAGCCAGAAGGAGCTTCAGGAATGTGATTGTGATCGGAAACAAAAGTATACGAGTTCAAGGACACATGTCACACCATGTTCAGCTTTGAAATGTCCACAGATAAAAAAACAAGTGATGTTAATTGCACTGTAAGCTCTTCATTTTCCAAGCTGCCGTCCACTGTCCGCTACCGCGCCGCTACCCTCCATGGATCAAAAGAAGCTCCGGGAGTTGACCAAGAAGGAGAAGGAGCGCCGCGATGCTCCCGTGAAGCCGAAGGCGCGCCGCGTGGAGTCCAACGCGCTGCTGGCGAAGCGGCTCCGCGCGGAGCCGGAAAAGCGCCCGGCCGCGCAGCGCCCGGAAGGGGAGCCGGAGGCGCCGCAGGTGGCTGAGCAGGTGGCTGAGATGGAGGAGGAGGTGGGACCCGAGAGCAAGGAAAATGAAGTGAATGAAGTGGAAGAGCCGGTGGTGGAGCAGACGCTTCCGAAGAAACCGGAGGTTGAGGAGGACAAGCAGGACAAGGAGGAGGAGGACCAGAAGGAAGGATTGCCTGAAGGCTTCTTTGATGATCCTGATATGGATGCCAAGATGAGAGGTCAAGAGGCACCTTCCAAGAAAGCCGAACGAGAGCTGGAGGAAGGTCTGCGCAGATTTGAGCGAGAGATGCAAGCTGAGCAAGAGAGGGCAGAGGAGAAAAGACATCAAATCGATGAGGAGAAATATGAAGCAACAGCTGTTGAAGAGCAAGAGTTTCAAGTGCAGCTTCAGTCTCGCCTTGAGAAGCTGCGTCAACAGACGGCCCATCGAAAGCTCAACATGCCAAAGGAGGCAGAAAAGGAGGAAGAGCCGGAAGATGATGAGGATTTGGATGACGATGACTTGGATGGATTGTCGCTTGACTGGCGCGCCAAAGGCTTCAGCTAAGGGGAGCAAAAAGAAGAGTTCGTGCCCGGGCGTGGGGAAGAAATATGAAGAAATCCTGGACAGATCTTTCAAAACAATCATGAATCTTTCATATCCAATCTCTACATGAACCGGTATAGCCGTGGCATGCCGTGGGCTGCAGACCGATCCGACCCCCCCAAGCGTCGCGTGGTCGCCTCGACTCGGTGCCGTCCGGGGTAGACCCTACCCGACCGACCCGACCTTCCTGTATGCACATGTCCAGGCCGTGAGGGAACCCAAGTCATGCACTGTCCAATCCCCCATAAAACCATCCCTACTAGCAATGGCCTCCAACCTACTCGGGATCGCCTCCAACCCAGTAGTACCCTAGGCCCTACACTATATTTACCCTCCAAAAAGTGCGGAAGAACAGGTTAGGCTCCATCGCGTCTCCCACGACCAGGCACGACGGAGCACCGGACCCGCCACCCGCGGCGAGCGGTGAAAAACGCCGGAAGTGCACGACCTGCGCGGCATGCACGACATGCACAACATGACACCGTGGCACCTTCAAGTGGAGGGTGACAACAGGTGACCCTTCATTTGCCAGCTAAAAACAAGCTCAAAAGAATATGCCATTGACTCGTAACGGATAATTTTTTCTCAAACGGATGGTCATGGATGGCGATCCCTCTTTAGTGCTATGTGAAAACGCTGCCATTGGTGGCCCAGAAATGTAGCTCCAATCTGCAAACTTCACCGTTGTAGCTCCTTTCCATGTGAAACGAGTCAGGGGTCTTCCCTTCTTCATCCCAAAGAAAGAAAAAAGATGTATTAACAATAAATCCATAAAGTTTGGTTTAAAAAAAGTGTTCTTCTTTCTCAGACCGACCGCCACCGGGGCATGGACGTCCCCAGTGCCGTTTGGGGCAACGCCTCCTGTTTCGGGACCGACACCGAGGGCGCGTCGGCCGCGTCTGCCGCGTATGAGTTTTGCTGCCTGGGTGGACTGGAACTCTTCGACTCGGCGACAGGTGTGTGTCGCTCGGGGTGTGAGCTTCGATCCTGTTGGTCGCGAGACACGTCCTATGAGACCTGCTGTCAAGCGAGAAACCTGCACCTCAGGTCGCACACGTGCTTGAAAGGTTGCGAGAGTGCCCAGTGGCTGGATTTTTTGCGTGTGTTCAAGCTTGCGCGTGGCTGCATTCATTGCATAGGCCAGTATGATTTGCTGGGCAAGGTTTGGGGAATGATCGGAGCAGGGCTGGGCTGTAGGGCAGGAGAAGTCCTGGCAGCGTTCACCGTCCTGATTGCCTCTGCCGTGTCGAGTGCTTCTTCCGTTCCGGTGAGACTCTTCGCACCGCGAGCGGCTTCGATGCTGGAGCAGATCTCATCCTGTGGTTTATCATCCTTAGATTGGTGGCATTTGGCGGGTATCACTGACCGACAAATGCACTACATCCTCGTCCAGATGGAACCCGTGCCATTTCTGGGTTCCAGCTTACGAAAAGAACGTCAGAACTTCACGGCCATTGATGTGGGAGCCGGTGGTTTTGGTGACACCTTGTATTTCCTCAGCGTCTTCCAACGGGTCCTGGCCATTGATGCCCGGCCGTCTCTGGACACACGACAGCCTTGGATGAAGCGCGTGGGCCGGCGCTTGGAGACCTTGGTTCGTGCCGTGACGGGACGCAGTGGAGAGGAGGTGCCGGTCTTCTTGGATCAACATGGCCAGGGTCTGATGAGCTCTCTGAATTCTTCATTGGTGCCAGGTGTTCAATTACACCCTCTGCAGCAAACGAGGGTGAGCTCTGTCTCCTGTGCAGATCTCTATGAAAACCACAGCAACGTGCTGTACATGAAGGTCGACATCGAAGGCTTCGACATCGATTGCCTTCGTTCTTTGGCTCGTTTCGACCCCGCCCGTTTACCCCGTTTCTTCTGCATCGAACTGCCCAGTGCCCAATCAGTAGTCTTGGACCTGGTGCAGCACCTGCAGCACCTGGGCTACCAACACTTCAAGATCTCCCGTCAGCGGCTCTACAACCTTCGCCTCGCCCGGGGCGAGCGCTATGCGGCCTCCGGACCCTTCGGCGCGGAGGCCGTGGACTTGCGCCGCGGGCCGCGCTGGCGCGGCGCGGCGGAGATCACGCAAGTGCTGAAGTTGGTGGCGTGGGAACGAAGGAGGCTTTTGGAATGGTTCGATTTACATGCTGCGAAAAGCACTTGATCTACATGTTTCATGATGTTTTTGGATGTTTGGATGTACTGTCGACATTCGTGTTGAACGACATCTACCTGGGTTCCAGATCTATGCCTGGTTCTACCTGGCTTCCTCGCGGCGTGCGCGCTTCCCGGCTGGAGACGTCCAGTGCCTTGCTCGGTGCACAGCTTGGCCTTTCGTTTTCGATTGCAGCGAGTCCTGGGAGCGAAGCGGAAGCGGGAGCGAGGCAAAAAAAGGAGGCGGAGATCGTTGACGTTGATGGAGATCGTTGACGTTTTTCTGAAGTTTTCTGGATGACCTGCGGACGATGTTGAGCCAGACAACGGACGATGTAACAACAGCACACGTTGTCATGTCATGTGGTCATGTGGTTTGCTTCGCCGCAGCAGTAAATGAGTTTGTAGAACAAGATCAAAAGATTCAACAGAAATCCAGGAGCTTTTGCACTAGTGTATTCTGCACATTCCCATCTACCACACCACAAGCATGGGAAAGATTTAGCGATCTTCACTTTCACATTTCTTCACTTCACATAGCTCTCAATGAGCCACTATGTGTGTGGCAGGCCGGGAGAATGCCCAAGCAGATCGTGTGTGTGTTTTGTTCTCTAGTTTTTTTCTTTAAAACGCAACACGAACACGTCGAAGTCAGTTTTCGCTGCGTCGGTCGCTGCTTTTCGGTTTCGAGGCAATTCATCTTCGAGGAAGAGCCTCGATGGCTCCTGCTGGGCCTTTTGGTGGTCATGGTGGCGGGGATGCTCATCGGCCTACTGCCACTTGGCCGCTCGGGGAGATGGCTGGCCAGTAACTGGCGGAAGTGAAATCATGAAGACGTGATGTGAAGATCTAGGAACAAGTGCCTTACTAGTAGTAACAAGAAGCTAGTAGGAACATTAATATAAATTAGAATTGAATTAGAACAAATTCGATTTTGTGACCTCCGAGATGTGATGTCTACTAGCTTCTTGTTACTACTAGTAAGGCACTTGTTACTAGTAACAAGTGCCTTACTAGTAGTAACAGGAAGCTATTAGGAACAAATTTTAATTTAGAATTTAATTAGACTAAAGTTGATTTTGGTGAATTTTTGGTCGCCTTGAGGGCAACGCAAGGACATGAGGCGAGTCTCGACTCGGTGCTTAGGGAGGCCATCGCTACTAGGTTAGACCATGTGGTGACCATCTCCCATCTCAGGCTAGGACTGGTCATCGGCCTGGCGGGCATGTTCTTCTTCGAGATGGCGTTGATGGGCCTCGCGCTCTTCATTTTGTACGACGCGTACGATTTGACTTTTTTGAAGAAGTCCGGTGCGCGCGACAAGACGGGCTTCGCCTTCATGGTAATGTTCTGCACCACTTTGGTCTTGCTGTTTATGGCAGCCATGCGATACTGTGCCTTTAATTTGAGCACACAGAGCCGCTGTGTGGTCTTTAGCATCGTTGGTATCGCCTTGGCCTTGGTGGCGTACGTTTATGCTCGACTGTGTTGTCAAGAAGATGAGAGGAAGCATCATCTTGGCCCGTGTAGTCCGGAAGGGGAGCTTTTAGAAGCCAGCGACGGTGAAAGGGACTTGGCCAGTCGGTCCTGGAACCTGAAGCATTTGCAAACCTTCCTCAGCTGGATTATGTGCGGCCAATGCTTTTTCGAAATCAATGATTGGTTAGTTCCTTCTGAAGAGGATTGCTCTCTGAAGGATCAAATTACAGTGCACAACCGGAGTTTGAAGCTCATCAAGGTCTGTCTATATTCATCCTTCGATGTGGTGTGCTGGGTTCCCATTGGTGGCATCGCTGGAAGCTGTGTGGGTTTTATTCGCTCCGGAGAGAAGCGCACCTTGACTCTGCCTCGGCCCTGGCGGAAAGTGAACGGGACCGAAAGCGAAGAATCCTTTCGATTGAAAGTCTTCATGCCAGGCTTGTTGGATAAAGAGTTGGCCTTTTTCCCGAAGGCCAAGAGGGGTCAATCCTTCGCCTTCGTCGACGTCGAAGGGGTGGTGCGGCGCTCACGGCTGCTGTCCTCTCAATCCTGTCTTCCGGAAGCCACGTTGCCGCTTCCCGCCATGGAGAGCTCCGAAGAGGAATACGCCTCCGCGGCTGCCGCGGCCCTGAAGAAGGATGAGAAGTTCGATTCCAGCGGACCGGGCCCCGGTGGCCTCGGCCTGCGGAAGCGCAGTTCGCTTCAAGTCATGAAGGGCGGAGCAGGCGGAGCCGATTCGCCGGGCATTCAGCTGGAAGGCAGTCCGCACTGCAGGAAAGCGGCGCCTGATGAGACACTTGGCCTTTAAGCCGTAGCCTTTTGGTCCACGGAACATGTTAAAAGATGTGATGAATTGGTCAAAGCCACAAATTGCTTCCAAAAGACTCTTAGTTAGCTAGCCGGAAACCTTTCGTTTGCAAAGACTCTCAGGGAAAACAGCAAAGACTCTCTGAACGATGCGTTAAAATGACCTCAGAGATCCTCAGCCAATCCTGTCGAGGATTGTTGTGCGGAATCGCAGCAGCGAAGATGTCAGAGCACTTCTCTTCCGAGCAGACGACTACTGCTATATGGTACCAGTGGTTGGTAAGCTCATGGCTTGTGGCGATTGCATTCTCCAAGGAGAAGAGAGAAGATTCAATCCCAGCACAGATGAAATGCAGGAATTTACCCTAAAGGCACGGAAAAAGAAAAATAAAAAACCCACTTGCCCAAAACATGTGTGTTGGAGCCCATCGCTACTCGGGTTGGAGACCAGTCACACAAAGAGCTTGGAGGCCGTGTTACATCCACGTTCATCCGCCCACCGGACTGGTCGTTCTCCGTCCACTCGGACCGACCGTCTGGCAGGTTTATAGCATCGGACCGGCCTCGAAAGAGCTCACCTATCTCACAGTGAGACGTTCGGGTCTCCCAGCGAACGCGAAAGGGCCACTCGAAAGCCCGGAAACAGCTTTTGCACCTATCTCTTACTACTAGGAACAATAAAGCTACGAACGGAGCAAAGGGCATCGCTACGAACGGAGCAAGGACGCTACTAGGGGCTCCTTGCCTTGCTACTAGGAACAATAAAGCTACGAACGGAGCAAAGGGCATCGCTACGAACGGAGCAAGGACGCTACTAGGGGCTCCTTGCCTTGCTACTAGGAACAATAAAGCTACCAGGAGCAATTCTCACTCGTTTCTCTCCTCTCTCTCTCGCGCTATATAGTAGGTTGGTTGGAGGCCGCTATAGTAGGTTGGAGGCCATTGCAATTAGGTGGGTCTCTCTCTGTCTTTCTTTCTTTGTGTCTCTGTGTTTTTGGTGTTTGTCTTTATGAGGTGTTTTTCCTTCGGAGCCAAGCCAAGGTGTTTGACTTGGGATTTGAAAAAGGGGGTTGACCACTTTGCGTGGCCGTGGTTGTTTTCCAGGACATGAGCACTACGTCCAAAAAACGTTCTTCTCCCTTCCGTGCCGAGGTGGTAACGCCTACACCTTTTGTGACTCCCTTCTGTCATGAAGGATCATGGACGGAGTCAACGTTGGAGCACCAAATTCGTGCAAAGATGGTGCCCATCGGGTTCGAGATTGGCCTTTAAAAGGCGCTGAATGCATATGTGCACCTCCTCTTCTGCCAGAGATGTCCTGCACACCTGTTCGTCGCTGGATGTAAATCATGTTCATGTTGCCATAGCCCATTGCCAATATGTTGCCACTATCGCCTTGACTGTTTGGGTTTGGAAGGTCTCATCTCCGAGATGGAAGTGCTCATATCATCTATCTCAAATTCTAGCTTCTGCATCGCAGAAGAAGGCTTCGGCCGTTGGCATTGTCCATGATGACCTGTTTTTCAAGCCATTGGTTGCACTGATGCAGTGAATTCTCCGAATTGAATAGCTTGCGAATAGAAGTGGACCAGTTTGAGCAGCAGAATCGCACTTTGTCCGTTGGCGAAAGCCGAATCGCTTGGAAAGCAGAGGATGCACAGAATGGGTCTAGACAGTCTGGACCGCAGCACAGGACGCCAGACCCGCGACACGGACGTCAGAGCTCCACGTCCAAAAGACGGAGACAGAGACGTCGTCCGGGACGGAACGGGACGCTTCACGGAGCTTCAGATTCGGTCCCCATTCGAAGAGCAAGTTCCAGTGAGGCCTTTCCAACTGCCTGTCGACATGGATAGCCTCACCTGCAGCGAATACACTGTAGCACTCACCAACCAAAGCGCGCCACATTCAACCTGTCATCTCGGGTTGTAGTGCCATTTTGGCAATAAGCTACTAGTAACAAGTGCATCGCTACTATAGTAACAAGTGCCTTACTATAGTAGTAACAAGAAGCTATTAGAAACATTCAACCATAGCTTCTTGTTCCATTGTAGTGCCATTTTGGCCCAAAGGAAGAACTGCGAAGAGCGCCGGTTCGCCGGTTCTTCGCGTCGCAGGCCTAGCATCGAAGAGAAGGGCACGAACGTGGAGCTAAGGACCCACCCGCTCAAGCCCAAAAGAAGCACCTCACCTCCCAGCTTCATCTATAGGTTCCTTTTTTTCCTTTTTTTCTGAAGCCTCCCATTCAAGTCGTCCACCTTCAAGATCCATGCGAAGCGATTCGGTTTGGGGTCTTAGACACCAGTCGCCTATACGCCTAGAAAACCTCTCCAGATCTCTCCATCACCGTTTTCGCTTCGGGCTGAACGGCCGGGTCTTCGCCTCGTTCAGATGCCATGAGCCACGTGTGTCATGGAGCCATGCGCTTCGTCGTTTGGGCGCTTCTCCCTGCGGCAGCTGCAGACACCTGTTTCGGGGCGCCCTATGTGGGTCCCATGCAGGCGGAGTCTTTACTAAGCAGAAAGATAGGTTTGAAAAGGGAGCAGAGACATATAGCGAAACAAAGAATAGGAACAAGTCATGGTCCGTCCGAAAACTTCGGAATATCAAAGGACCGTCCAAAAGGTCCACCGGTGTGGGATGGAACGGAGACAGAGCACCCTGCGTCGGACCCGACACCGAAACGGGGTTTGGACGTTTGGAAAACTCGATGTGTTGGTTCGGGCCCGGATTCTTCGGGTAGTTGAAAACAAAGGGAAGCTCTGCAGAACTGTTAGAACTTCTATCAACTCGGGTTTTCGAGCCAATGAAAGTATGACCGAATGATGTCTTTCTTTGCAAAATTTGTGTTGATCACGGAAAATATGCTAGCTGTGCACGGCTTGTTTCTCCAAAAAAGACGTCGACAAAAAACGTTATTGTTTTGCCTAGTATGGCCAAAGATGCGGAAAGGATGAAAATCGACACGTCATTTCATCCAAAGAGAGAAGCGGAATGACGGGCAACCGCAGCATCTCAGCTTCCCTAGCTCCGCTCTAAGAGCTCGAAACCGACATGTGCGAAGAGTGTGGCGCCATGTGAAGCTTTTGAAGACCATTCAATCCTTGGTGCTTCAAAGGTCTTGAACACTTAAGCGTGTTTTTGCCGTGTTCGCGTGAGCATGGGGTGCTCACTCCAATGCCTGTCCGTGTGCTGCGGAAGTGCCAGGACGCCGCCAATTGTGGCAACCTCGCACATTGTGGGGAGTGCCAGGCGCATGAGCATGGGGAGACTTAGGGCTATTGAGATATGACAATCCAAAGATCCAAAGGTGGAGGACCCAAGGTTTTGCATGTGGAGGAGCCAGGGTTTTGCGTTTGGAATTTGCAGATGTGTACATCTCTTGGGCCTTGAAGCTGGCGTTAAGCAATCTTGAAGGTAAAGGATCCAGGCTTGACATCCACATTCTCTTCGAAGCATTGAGGAATGCACACATGAGATGCCTGTAGCTACGCTCTCATTTTGGCCATTAGTTGTTGGGTTGATGTTCGTGGTCATGGTTGATGTTCAATCTCATTCCGTCACGGTGGACCAATTTCACAAGGGAAAGAAAGCAGTCAATCGTACGAAAAGGTGATCAGTTCCGCTTGATTTCGGTGGTTCTTGGTCATCCCCGGACCAAATCCCGGGGTCCGTGTATGACATGTTGTTATAGTCACGGTTGCTGTTGTTGTATTGGCATGGCAACTACCGGTATAGTCGGATATACAGTGTCACTTCCGACCAAAAGCAGCTGCTCTTGCTTGCGTTCCGAAACTCTTTCGAGTCGGCAGTAGCCCAGGTGCAGTGCAGCTGCCAAGGCCGCAGCAACTGTTTAGGCTCCGATTCTTTGCTTCGATGCGCCTTGGCCCAACGAAAGCTGCTTTAAATTCCGGGTTTGGGAGCTCAAAGAAACGCTTTTCTGCGGCGTTGGTCGGCAGCCCCCCCCCCCCAACGCTTGGACCCATACCAAGCAAGATCAGCTGCTGAGGTGCCACCTAAGGCTTCAATGACTTAAAGACTTTAAGGAACCGAGCAATGATGGTCTCCAACCGAATCAGCGATGCCCTTCTCATAATGCCAGACCCACAGTTATGGTCACGGTCGCTGTAGGTCTGGACAAGACCGGGTAGGGTCTCCGAAGAAAACTCCCGCTCGACGAGCCGTTGTTGGGCCTCCGAGAGACTGAGTTTGCTCAAGGACTTCGATCCAATCGCTCCCTTCCGGGTCGCGATGCCCGGAGCCTCCGTTCGTAGTAAGGCCCGTAAAAGAGTTTTAAACCAAATGAATGTGTTCGCTGTGCCTAACCTACGCGAACAATCTTCCTAACTTACAATCTGCCTCGTGGATCCGGTCGACATGGACATCGAAGTCACCAAGGTTTGGGTCAGAATGATCCCATCCGGAACTTGTCGAAGGATCAATTTCAATATGGCGCAGCTTGGCTCTTTTTCCAACGCAGGAAGCATGGGGCGGCTGAGGAATGGGAAATCCTCGGGCTGTTCTGAAGTGTTTTTAAGAAACGGCCACTGAGAGATGGTTTGAAGCCACCATGGATGTGGCTCAATGCAAACCTTCCCACGCTCTGAAATCAGCGTGCACCTTCCGTCCCTGATTGCATCCCAGTGGCTTTGGTGTTCAAAGGGAATCCGAGACACTCGGTCTCTCCACCTGGAAGGCGGAGAACTCACAGACAACATGTGTTGACTAACATGTGTTTGTTTCAAGTTCTTGGCTCTTTCATCCTTTCAGCTTTTCCTTCAACTCCTTCAACACTCAACTCAATCCCTTTCAAAAAAACGAAAGCCCAAAGACGGATGGGCCGCGGTCGGCCGCCAAAGCCACACCTGCATGGAACCATGAGGACGGTCGATGTCATTGCGAGGCACCCCATGCAGGATCGAGACGAGACATATGTTGGCTCCGTTCGTCGCGTCCGAACGCTCCGTTCGTAGTAAGGCCAGGAGCGCCGAACGTAGCATCCTTGTTACTACTAGTAAGGCACTTGTTTCTACTAGCTTCTTGTTACTACTAGTAAGGCACCTGTTACTACTGTAAGGCACTTGTTTCTACTAGCTTCTTGTTACTACTAGTGAGGCACTTGCTCCTAGGCCTTGTTACTAGTAGCGACGCCCGATCGCGTCCGTTCGGAATTCGTCGCGTCCGACACGGCGGTACGGTACACCTTCGGCGACTCGTCTCCGAGACCTGCAACAGCGCCGACACCAGCCCCGTGGGCCTCGTGACTGCAGATCCCTGTGGCTATGATCTGTGCTGCCCCGTGCCCTGGTGCAGTGGTTTCAGAGTGTGTAGCGTTTATCCCATTCCTTTGTTTTTGTGGTGAGTACTTTTTTAGGATCCAGGTAGATCAGATGTCGGGTTGTGACTCGGAATCATCTTCATGCAGTAGTTTACCACCGAAAGTAAGGATATACTGTATAGAAAGAACACTTTAGGCAGGCTAGATAGAAGTCTTGGCTGGGTGCGGGAGACATGGGACCGTAAGTCGAGAATATGTATAGAAGCCCTTGGATTTCGCCAGCCCTTGCTGCAAACAACGAAGAACTCTTTCTTGTTCCCTTTTCTTTTTTTCTTTGGACCTTTAGACTCAATGTTGTTTTTTCTGCTCATTGAAGTCTTGCTGCTTACGAGAA